TGACAAGACTGAACATCGACATCTTAGGAATCAGTGAACTAAAATGTCGATGTTCAGTCTTGTCATCTCTTGTTTGACCACATCCAGCTTGCCTTGATTCATGGATCTTACATTCCAGGTTCCTATGGAGTATAGATCTTTGAAGCATGGGACTGTCCTTTCACCACCAGATACATCTGCAACTGAGTGTCCTTTCAGCTTTGACCCAGTCGCTTCATTCTTTCTGGCACTACTAGTACTAGCCCTCTGCTCTTCCCCAGTAGCATACTGGACACCTTCCGACCTGAGGGGCTCATCTTCCTGCGTCATATCTTTTTGCCTTTTGGTACTGTCCATGGGGTTTCCATGGCAAAGATACTGGAGTGGGTTGTCATTTCCTTCTCCAGTGGATCACACTTTGTCAGAGCTCTCTGCTATGACCTGTCCGTCTTGGGTGACCCTGCACGGCATAGCTCATAGCTTCATTGAGCTACGCAAGCCCCTTCGCCACAACAAGGCAGTGATCCATGAAGGAGAACAGAGGTAGAGGGGAAGGCAAAAGGATGAAGGGATTACTAGCTTAGCGTTTTCCCTGTTCCAAATCTTTCTCTATTGGCTTTTTCTTACTGGTTTCTACAAAAATGCATTTGCAAGGAAGAAGATGAACTGGAGCAGGGAAACTGATGAGGAGAGTTGTTATAACACACATACACACCACGGCTGCTTTGTTGCTCCCAGTTCTTGCCCCCAGAAGTAGCTTTCTCAGCAGAAAAAGCACCATCAGGATGCCATTTCATGCTGACATTTCATGTTGACGGTTAGAGACTATCCAGCTAAGACACATCTGAAATTATTTCTAGGCCCCCTTATTTATGTATTTATTTATTTAGGGAACTTCTATGCCGCCCCATTTGCCAAAGCCTCGGGGTGGCTCACAATCATAAATAAATAATATAAAACAATATAATTTAACAGTATAAATTAAGTCACCCTGGCCAAAGAATAAAATAAATAAATAATATTAACAATTAAAATAATGTTTGAATAAAAAGGTCTTTGCTTGGTGCTGAAAAACAAATAATGATGGCGCCAGGCAGACCTCTCTGGGAAGTGCATTCCATAGATTGGGCGCCACCGCAGAGAAAGCCCTCCTCCGAATACTCACCCTCCTAATTTCCCTTAAGGGTGCAACCACCTCAGAGTGGCATACAAGATCAGAAATGGAGACATACAAAATTAAAATCACAGAGATGCAATAAAAATCTATAAAAGCATAGACAAGAGAACCATAAAATGAGATTGCCAATAAATGAATACAAACAAACCTTTCCAATAAAAACCAATGACCCAAATTTCCAGAGTTCACCAA